GTTGGACTGCACTTCTGAGTTCCTTTCTAAGGGATCAGGGTAACTGATTACTGAGTGCCAAGCCACTCTCCTTGATATTTGAAAAGCCATGGCAGTCAGGTGAAGTCTCTAGTGACTGGAAAAAGGGAAACGTTGCACCCATTTTGAAAAAGAGTAGAAAGGAGGACCCCGGTAATTACTGACCTGCCAGCCTCACTTCTGTGCCTGGGAAGATCATGGAACAGATCCTCCTAGAAGCTCTGCTAAAGCACATGGAGGACAGAGAGGTGATTCAACAGAGCCAGCATGGCAAGTCCTGCCTGACCAAACTAGTGGCCTTCTATGATGGAGTGTTTACATGAGCGGACAAGGGAAGAGATACGGATGTCATCTATCTGTACTTCTGTAAGGCCTTTGACACAGTCCTCCACAACATCCTTCTGTCCAAATTGGAAAGGTATGGATTTGATGGGTGGACTGTTCAGTGGATGAAGACTTGGTTGGATGATCACATCCAGAGGGTACGGGTCAATGGCTCAATGTCCAAAGGAAGATTGGTGACAAGTGGTGTCCCTCAGGGGTCCACATTGGGACCGGTACTGTTTAATATCTTCATTAATGACATAGACAGTGGAATTGATTGCACACTCAGCAAGTTTGCAGATGACACCAAGCTGAGAGGTTCCAAATTGGAAAGGTATGGATTTGATGGGTGGACTGTTCAGTGGATGAAGACTTGGTTGGATGATCACATCCAGAGGGTACGGGTCAATGGCTCAATGTCCAAAGGAAGATTGGTGACAAGTGGTGTCCCTCAGGGGTCCACATTGGGACCGGTACTGTTTAATATCTTCATTAATGACATAGACAGTGGAATTGATTGCACACTCAGCAAGTTTGCAGATGACACCAAGCTGAGAGGTGGGGTTGACACACCTGAGGGACCTGGACAAGCTTGAGAAGTGGGCCCCTTGGTTGGATGATCACATCCAGAGGGTACGGGTCAATGGCTCAATGTCCAAAGGAAGATTGGTGACAAGTGGTGTCCCTCAGGGGTCCACATTGGGACCGGTACTGTTTAATATCTTCATTAATGACATAGACAGTGGAATTGATTGCACACTCAGCAAGTTTGCAGATGACACCAAGCTGAGAGGTGGGGTTGACACACCTGAGGGACCTGGACAAGCTTGAGAAGTGGGCCCATATGAACCTCATGAGGTCTAGCAAGGTCAAGTGCAAAGTTCTGCACCTGGCTCAGGGCAACCCCCAGTAACAATACAGGCTGGGGTATGAAGGGATTGAGAGCAACTCTGAGGAGAAAGACTTGGGTGTGTTGGATGAAAAGCTGGACATGAGCCGACAATGTGAGCTCACAGCCCAGAAAGCCAACCATATCCTGGGCTGCATCAAAAGAAGTGTGGCTAGCAGGTTGAGGAAGGTGGTTCTGCCCTTCTACTCCACTCCAGTGGAGCCCAACCTGGAGTACCGCATTCAACTCAGCACAGGAAAAGCGTGGACCTGTTGGAGCATGTCCAGAGGAGGGCCACAGAAATGATCAAAAGGCTGGAGCACCTCTCCTATGAAAAAAGGCTGAACGAATCATCTAACCTGGAGAAAAGGCGGCTCTGAGAGACCTTATTGTGGCCTTTCAGTACGCAAAGGGAACTTGTAAGAAAGATGGGGAAAAAATTTTTAGCAGGGTCTGTTGCAACAGGACAGGGGGCAATGGTTTTAAACTAAAAGAGGATAGATTTAGACTAGATATAAGAAAACAATGCTTTATCCTGAGAGTGATGAAACACTGGAACAGGTTGCCCAGAGAGGTGGTAGATGCCCCATCCCTGGAAACATTCAAGGTCAGGTTGGATGTGGCTCTGAGCAACCTGATCTAGTTGAAGATGTCTCTGCTTATTGCAGGGGGGTTGGACTAGATGACCTTTAAGGTCCTTGCCAACACTATTCTATGATTTTATGAAGGCAGTGAGTGAGCTGCTTCTTTGTGTAACCCAGATAAATTTTGATTCTGTTGTCAAGTATCTTAGCTATTTTGTCTCTTGTGATCACTAATGCCCAGTAGAAGGCCACTGCTTGTGTCAAACCAAGGAGAAGGAAGCTCAGTCCTTATCACCATAAGGAGTAACACAGACTCAAATACCATCCTCAATACAGTTCAAACACCATTCACCAGCTTTAGGAAATCAGATATGATCCAGATTTTAACTTTGCCCGTGTGTTCAGATCTAGGGTTTTGGGTTGTCCTATGGTTGAAGATGAAGACAGATACAGTGTGGTTAGTGTTCCGTCCTCCTTTCCTCCACCCAGTGATCACCTCCCCAGGCCTGTGCAGCAGGCACAAAGCTCTACGTTTCCAATTTCTAACCTATTTTGTCACTGCTGCTTCACTCACACTCTGATCCACTTCATGTCACTTCTCTTCTCTGAGGCATTATTCCCTTTTCTATCTTTATTCCTTCCCACTTGGAAAACAGGATGACTTAGCAGCTTCAACATTTGGTCATGCAAGCTCAGATTCCCCTATGGCCACTTAAACTTTTTCTTCCCTATGAGGAATGAGGATGATTGCCGTCCCTATACTTTGTACTCAGACATGGACCTTTTGGGGCAAGATCATTAAGAAAAACAGGAGCTTTGGCTGACATAACCAATCCTACTGTGCTGTTTAGCAGAAATATGGCTGGTGCTGAATGGCATTATGCCAGTGGACTGCACCAAAGTCAATGGAGGATCTAGCCCAATATGCTATATTTTAAGACAATTTGTAACATCCTTATCAGATCCAATTATGGTGTAACAGTACAGCAATACTTTTCACAATGTAATTCTGCACCATCCATTTTTGTGCATATTGACCTACCACTCTCACATTAGTGTATTCTGGAAAATTACAGGCATCTGTTATATTTTGCCAATCACCCCAGGAGACTTTTGCAAAAGAGAACCAGCAATGTGTACATAGGGTAGTCTATCCCCATCTTCCCTCTTTCCCCAGAAGATGGGTTGAGCGAGATTGCAGTCAATTCCCATACACAAGCAATAATAAAAGCATCATAACCTGTTTACAGGAAAGCAGCAACATACCAGGGTGGAACATGACAAAGGCGACACATGGCTCTAGTCACTAGGCAAATACAGTTCCTGGTAGGATGACAGTAAAATGTGTGTGTGGAAAGAACAAAGGTGCCAACCAGAGATGATTAGAAGTTACTAGAACACACTTTCTGGTGTGGCCAGAGTTAGGTTACTCAGTCTCAAAAGAAAAATCTCACTGAACTCAGCTTCTATTTATGTCTTGATGCTTTTCCTCAAGATGAGGAAGATGGGGTGTTCTCCAGCTCTTCTGCAGTTTTTGAACAAGCCAGGTGACAGTCCCAAAAATCTCACAACTTTTTTACACCCTCTCCCTCTGCTATCTAGCTTTTTACAGAGCCCATATAGAGCGGCCTGAGCAGCTGTACAATGTGCTCCTCTTCAGCATCTCAGACTCTTCAGTTCTTCCTGAAGTATATGAAATCCTGCCAGGGCCAAATGCAGAAGGAACTCTGGAGCACAGACATGTTTTTCCAAAGGGAGAGCTTATTGTATTTGAGCACAGAGCTTGCCCCATGGGGATGGTCAGAGGTGAGTTAATATTCTAGAGCACAGAAAAGACAAAAGGCCTTTGGATTGACATCACACTGCAAGAAAATATGTAATAAAAGGCCACAGGCTCACTGCTGTCACTGCCAAATAATACTGTAATGAACAGGAATATTCCAGCCAAGGGACATGCTCATTTATCTCACGTTCATATGTTCTTGTTCCCTTCAGTTTCTTCTTTCATTTACACTATTTTTTAACTCCCTGCTTTTTCTGCTCCTTCTCTGCTGTCATTCTCCTTCTCTGCAGAGCATATTTGTCATCCATTTTCCTTACAGTAGCACTGTTATCTTTGTTGGGGCGAGTCTGTCTCCCTTTCTTTCTCAATGGCTCTTTTTTCCATCTCTTTGCCTTATCTCTCTCTGCCTTGTAAGCCATGAACAAATGTGTGGACAGAGGGTCCACAGAAACCACCTGTCAAGTTCAACAGAACACACCTTAGTGTACAAAAGATCTGGAACAGCCCAACTTTGCAGGTGGGTGCATCTTGACTGATGCAGATCAGTTCTGCTATTAGTTCATCCACTGTCTGTGCCCATTTTCCAGTGCTCGATACAAGACTATTTCCAAAGCTGTCATAGCCTCTTCTCATGCATCTCTGTGGCATTATCATACAGAAAACACAGGATATAGCAGGTGTTTATGTTGCATTCCACTGGTACCAAAACATTGCCATGTTATGGACAGGGAATTCTTTGAAATACAAGAGAGAGAACATGAGGATTGTCTGCAAGCCACAAGTGAATCACCTAGTATTAAAGTAACTAACTGATCTCAGTAGCTGTTGAAAGTGGCTCCCACAACTCTAAGGTTGGCTATGACTGATTCTCTTTACTGCTGCTGCAGCCCAAGAAATGGCAAGCACTGTCACACATAGGAGAAATGTACCAGAATCTAAGTCTAAATTCCCCTAGGGCTAGACCCATATAAGCAACAGAAGTACCAGGGAAAAAGGAAGAACTGGAAGAACATGTGACCAGTCAAGGCTGGATACAGCTTCAGGCTCTCAGAAAACACGTGATGGATATCTCTGCAGTTTCAAAAAGGGTATTTCAGATGGGTTTTCTTTGGCGTCTCTCTCCTGCCATCTTGCTCCTTCCTGAAGAAAGGTGTTGATAGAGGCAAAGCAAGCAAGCAATATGACAGGGAGACTCCAATTTCTGCCAGAGATTTTTTTCTTTTCTTGTTGAAGAGCCCATCTATTCCTCACTTTACTTCCCCACCCTCATATTCTTCAAACTTGCCTGGAAGTGGCTGCACCAGCTGTTGGGGAGAAGGAGCAGGAGCCCGTACACGAGATAGTGCCAAAATGTCCTGGCAGATCTCCTTTACAGGACTGAGACGCTGCATCTGAAACTCACCTCCTGTTTCTTTGGATGCTTCCAGAGAGAGACATTCCTCCCAGGTCATAGTACCAGAAGAATTGCCAACTATACCTCCCTGTAAGAGATTCCCAAGGTTGTTGGTAACTATGATGTTAAGGATGTTCTCTAAAACATTTTTTCCTTACAACTGTGTTTCTCTATTTCCCCCAAATCCACATGCACTAAGTACCTTTGTGATTCTGGACTTAGGCTCCTGCAAAGCAATTAAAGCTGCTAGTCCTGACTGTACAAAACACCCATAAAAAGTGAGGAATCTACTCGCTCCCAAGTTGAGGAAGAGTTCAAATTTGGGTCTAGACATTACTCCTCACCCACGTCTCAGTGTCAGACTAAAATCAAAATGCTGACAACTGTGAGCTTGGGGAATATTTATGTGAACTTTGCTGACCCATCCCTGCCTGTTTGCAGCATCTTCACAACCTCCAATCATAGTATCTTGAACAGGATTATTAAGTCTACAGGGAGGAAAGACTAAGAAGTAGATGACCTGTTAAGAAGCAGAAAAAAATCCTTTCTTCAAGCCTGTGACCTCAATAAGGAAAAGCAATGAGAAAAGAAGCACAAACAAGATGTGCTAACAAAGCAGAAATGCTGCTCAAACTTCTCCTGTGTGTTTTCAAAAAAAGTGCCATGGAGAACTTTTGCACAAATGAAAGAAGTCAGACTGAAGAGCTATGTATACGAAGTCATTTGTCCTCGGAGCACACAAGGCACTGACCATGAGAGCAGAGGCTTGCGTTGCACTGGCATGTCCAGGTGCTGTATGCCTGACCTGGAGTGTTCTTGATTACGAAAAGAGGAAAATTCAGCATCCATGATCCACTAATTGTAGGAGCTTGCACTTGACACCACCAGCTGTGGGTCAATTAGTCAAGAGCTGTTATGATGTTTTGTGTGATAGGTTATAGATCTGATTTGATACAGACTAGAATCATTTTCATGTTTCACACCTGAGCCAGAGCCACCGAGTATACCTCTGGGCTGAGAGGAAGCACTAACCTCCAGATTGTATATTCAGTATCCTGCCAGCAATCCTAAATCAGAAAGGCTAATTTCCCATTTCACAAACTGGATGTACATTCTTTCTGTCAGGCGATGTCAATTTTTCACAAGTTCAGGCAAAATGTTGGGTAGCTCAGTTGTTTTTTTGTAATGCTTAAATAGTGATTGGATACGGGCGGAAAATCATCATTCCCCACCTGTTTTTTATCAAGATGCTTCAGTGGTATCTAAACGGAGAATTGACTTGAAGAGTGGCTCAGTTCTTATCAGTTTCATGGGCCTCAGTCTTAAGGGGTATTGCATTCACAATCCAAAGTCTTGTGGATTTCTCAGGAGGATCTAAGTGTTAGAGGACCTAGAGTGACCCAAGGGCAAAGTGAGAGCCGTACTGAGAGGAAAGACACTCCTGGGCTACAGCAGTGGGGAGCCAAAGAGAGACATGATGCTGTGACTGTGCAGTGGATAATACTCATGGTTCTTTTGTGCCAACGCCTTCCATGATGACTTCATAGGACAAAGTACAAACACATGTTCAATGAACACCAAGAGTTCAGGTAAAGAGACATGAAGAGTCAGAGAGAGCAGATCTCCAGAAGTAAATGAAATCAGATTTTGTTTTTTAACCATGTGCTTCTTAGGGTCTAGCATACTATTATGCAACTCAGAGAGCTGGGAAGAAAGATGTTTGAAGGCCTGATTTCAAAGAACTGTCTAAAATCTGTCCATCCACTTTTCACACTCCCACATGTAAAAATGGAGCAACAAGCGAAAAGGACTCATTCCAGACATATTTCCGTTTGAGTACTTTGGTAAATCAGAAGTGGGGCAAGAGGGAATTTCACCAGAACTGCAAGTAAGGCTGGCCTGGAGATGTAGCCAATGACTTACATGTCTCCTTACCACTAATTGGTGCTGTGATGCCAGGCAGTAACCAATCTGTGACAGTGACTATTCCAGCAGGCACTTTAGAAACGAGTACACAGCTGTTTGAAGTCTAAACTATATTGAGTTACAATTTAATTGGTCTGTAATCATGAAGTAAACACTTGCCAGTTGTACTAATCATGTTTCAACCCTGATCTAGGCAGCAGTCTCCCTACCAGAAAGGGAGGAAATATTATATGAAAATATGAGCAAATCTTGCCCAACTTTTCCATGGATGTTTCAGACCCTAACCCTTCTGCTCAGTACACATCCAAGTCCTTCCAGAAGACTCTGTTTAGATCCCCAGCCTCTCCTCTTCCTGGGAGGACTCTTGGTCTCCTTGGCCTTAAAAGCAGCTCAGGTCTCATCTGCCCTTCTTGCAGGGCAGGGGACCTTCTCTCTCTCACAAATGTAGATGGAACATCTTCCCTTCCCAAAGAGCCATCTGGCATCTCATCCTTCCCTTCACACAAATGTACCCAGACCCCATTCAGTCTCCTTTGTGACATGATTCTTCAGCCCTCCAGTGATATCCCCATGTCCATTGCTAAAGTGGACCTGCCTCAGGTGCTTAAAGTTTTATGCAGAACTTTTCCCATCACTGGAGCAGAGATGATTTTCTGCTGATTTCCTATTCAGCACCTCAGGTGAGCCAGAGGCAGGCTCCAAAAAGCCTATGAAAGGCAACTGAATGAATATACTGTTCCCTCCAATTGTGACTCCATCATTTCCTCTCATTACTCTAATAGAAACAAATCTTTCTCATCTCAGCCCTATTACCTCACACAAAGGAAAATGGTATGTAATCCTGTTAGAGCTGGGCTGCTGCTGGACACATTTTAAGGTCATTGTTCTGGGATGCCAGTCTCCACTGTGAGAGACTGGGAGAAGTGGGAAATGCAATTACTAGGCTATTCAATTCCCTAGAATGAAATGCTGCTGTTAACAGGCAGAAGCCAGCAAGAAAAAGAGCAGTTGCTTTATGAAATTATAGGGTTTGGCTAAATCAGGGTCTAATCACCACCTCAATAAAGGAGCAAGGTTAGCTCCTACTGCCATACATGGAGTCTCCTCATTCCCTTCAACCTGATCTTTGGCATCCCCAGTAGAAGCTCAACCTGCAGGATGGGTTATGGTCATGGAACCAGTGGTATACAAGTCCAGTGGTGGTCCATGTCCAGGATTTACACTGCACTTTGAAATGGGGAAGCCATAAGAGTTCAGCAACAGGAATCTGTCTGCTGCTGCCATCACCTCATACTGTACTTTGGCTCTGAGCTTCTTGAGGGCAAATTCTGCCATCAAATCTATCTCCTAATACACATGGCCTACGGCACCAGTCTTGCTGATTGCTGGTGCAACCCAGCTAAGCAGCCAGGTGGGAAATTTGCATTGCTAAACTCATGGAGCTGTAACCCCCCCACAAGGAATTCATATGCTGGAGGAGAGAAGGGAGCTAGCGCTGCTTATGGCAGTCAGTGAAGCAAAGCAGAACAATACGAGTGGGAATGATCACAACCGCCTCACTGAGCTGGCTTCTGTTGAGTGGTTAGACACTGACATTTTCCAAATCATTCCCACCCAAGTGAAGCCAAGGCATTTTTAGCTGGACGGGTAGTAAAGAAAGAGTCAGAAATCTCACAGGACAAACATTAGGGAAGACCACACAAGAACAACAATGACCATCACAAACCACAAGCAGAGACAAACTTTTGTCCCAGACTGTTCCTGCCAGCCAACCTCTTACTGTCATGTTCTCTGCTTCCTTCTCTTTCTGCCCCACGCTTGAGCTGTATGGCTGCTCTTGTTGGTCTCTCATGCAGTCACCCTTCCTACTGCCTTGAAGCCCCCCTTCATCTTCACTTTCCCTACTGTGTTACCCTCCTGCTGCCAATGTTCCCTCAGTCTCCCAAAGGATTTCTGTCCCACAAGGTAAGGTTGGGTTCCTGCTGAAAGCAGGACTATTCTTGCAGGTCCCAGAAGGAAGTTACATGGGCTGAGGTAAGGTTCCTGGTAGAGAAGGAGAAAGCAGCCAATCACCACTGGAGTCTCCAAGTCCCTTGAAGAGACGAGAGTCACTTCCCTGTTTATGCTCTTTATTAGTCCCTATTCTCTTTAATCGGCTTAGACTGATGAGGCGAGGCAGCGGTAGGGATCAGCCGGGCTGTTTAATTAAAGGATTGCAGCTCAGCCCTGCAGTTTGGGGGTTTGTGTAAATGAGCTGCAAGTACATTATTTAATCTGCTGCACAGAGAGGAGTTGGGGCATTAATGAAGCAAACTCTAATTAAAACTAGACGGCTGATGGTTATTAGTGGCATCAGTTCTGACAGGATTTATCTCATTTAGGGAAATGCCTGATCATGGAGGGGGAAAAGAAAGAATAAACCCAAGTTGGTTTATCAAATTCATCACAGCATCACTTGTGGCTGGCTGGCCATTCAGCAGGGCTCAGGAAAGCTGCACAGGGAGCCCCTGTGTCCCAGGCTCTCCCACCAGGAGCCCTGATGAGCTTATTTAGGGATATGCCTTGCTCACCCAGGAATTGATTGCCTATTCAGGCTGTCTGACCCACATATTTCAGTCTCGATTGACTTTTGTTCTGCCTTGGTTCAATGGGGAGCCTGTTCATGATTTGAGCAGGATGACGGACTCTGTAAATGATCTGATGAGCTTCTCCCAGCAACTTATTGTGCCATTCCAGAGCAGCATAGCTATCAGCTACGGACACCAGTTCCACATTGACCCTGTGTTTTTCCCTCTGCCATTTTTTGCCCTCTTCACTGCATTGTATAGGTAACTTCAGATATGAAGGAAGCCCATGGCTGACTGCAGGACCTGCAAGAGGCTAGGAAATGTTTTCCAGTCAGCATGAAGTTGACCAGTGAGTTTAATATTCCAGCCTGTGCCCTGCCTTTGCTCTGGCACAGTGTGTGAAGTAGGGATGCTCTTCTTGCCTGAGACAGTCACATAGAGAGATCATGAGAAAACATATAAAAATTTCTCTGTTTCCAAAAGCAAAAATTCTGCATGCCTGTTTCTCACCTTCAAATAGCCATGATGGCTCCAACCATCTCTATCTCTACATAGAATATTGTGTCACACAGAGACAGATTCAGGACTGCTATTGGGATCTGGGGGACAACAGAAACGGAGAGGACAAGGGAAAGCCTTGGGAAAAAAAGTAAGGGAAGCAGGAATCCTGCAGAGTCAGACAAGCTACAAATGACACAAAATGGACAGGAGTAGATCAGTATGAGAAGCCCCTTAACTGGAAGCCCAGATGCAACATGCTGTAGGGGTCACTGTCATTCATCCCCACTTCTGACTTTCCTGGCTCAGACTCCTCTTCAGATGCAGCTTGCCAAAATTGTTAAATTACTGGAACAAATGATTGCTTCCACTTCAATTTATCTGCCAAACCCCAGGTGAGAAATTTGGTGTTTCCCAGCACAAGGAGGGCAGACAAACTCATGCTCAAAGGATGGGTAGGACCTTTGGGAGTCACTGGGACAAAAGGAAGGCGTGAAGTATGAGCATGACAAAAACGACACTAGAGTGTCTTCACAGTAGGAGTGAGAGCCTTGCAGGACACAAAACCACTAGAAACCAAGGGAACTGATCAGAAATGAGATGGAAGCTTGGCCAAGAAGGGGACAAGGTCAAGGAGAAGGGTATGAAGACAGAACACTACGGCAAAACTGAGCCTTGCTTCAGACAAAATAGAGCACATAACCAAAACTCTCTCTCTCCAAAAATGCAAGGGAGAGGGTGCTCTCCCTGCCACAGAAACTTCTGCTGTCTCCTCCTCTTCCTTGCCAGCATCTCCCCAGCTGCCACAGAGGTGCTACTGCAGATGTCCCACTGAGCTGTCATGCAAACTTTACCAATGGTTGAAAGGCCTTCGTACAGACATCATGGGGCTTAACCCTTCCATCTTCACACACAAGTTGGTGGGGGGCGGGGGGGGGTCCTGCTTCTTTACCATGTCTCCAAGTGTGGCTGAACCCTACTTTTGAACATACATGCGTACCGCCCTGTTCTCTTTACGGATGTCCAGCACTCACATTTTTTCCTTGGAAGGAAATCAGAAACCATGGTTTGCTCCAGTGAGCAGAACAAATAAGAGAAATATCATTTAAAATATGCTGTAGCCTCACTACTGCAATTCAGCTGCCCAATTCTGTCCAGAGCCCTCCCTAGTAACTCAGGCTTCTTATACAGATGCCAAAGGTTAGATGTAAAGTCTAGCAGTGTGATGAGTGAAACTTTGAAAGAGAAACCTGTTTGCTGTTGACAGAAGGGCGATAGGGCACGAGGAAAAGGAGTAGGTTTGTGAGATGGAGGTGTAAGAAGTTGTGAGAGAAGGACATGGCAAGAAGAGAGGGACAAGGGTGAGCATGGAAGCTATATACAGTATGTACATCTCAAGTATTTTTGAAGCTCCTTGGACCCATTGGGTCACTGATGAGGGAGAGCTATGACAGTTGCTGGTGTACCCACACCTGGCTGCACTGGATACAAGTTGGTAATAGTTAATAATACCCATCTATAATTGACCTTCACTGGTAAGCTCAGAGCATTTCAACACACGTAAAACTGTACACCCTCCCACCCTGTCCCAGGGTGAGACACAGAACCCTGAGTTCATTTGGTGACTTTTGCTGTAACTTAAAGGTTATGGGTCTACACTGGCGTGTCTCCAGGCACCTAATAATGTGGGATAACAAATTTAAAGGACAAGAGTGAAGCATGTGTATGTTGGTGTCAAAGTGATGCAGAAGGGTAAGAAAAGGTACAAGTGTGAATGTGGGTTGATGGAAGTAGATGTTTGAAGAGAGGCTAAAAGTATGGTTTTGGAGGTACACAGGTGTGTGTGAGTGGAGGCCAGAACAGGTTTGTGAGCAATTGCACAACAGAATGATCACTAATCTCTGGGAGGGAAAAGAGAGAGACAGCAGTGCTGGGGACATGGGCCATAAGGGAGGATGTCGGAGGATGGGAGTGTAAAATACGTGAGTTTAGTCTGGGGCAGGAAGATTAATGATGAATGAAAAGGAAGTAGGGAATGGAAAAGAAAAGGTCTTGCTGGCAGCAATTTCCCACCTTGGTGAGGAGTCTGGAGATGAAGGCTTCTGCTCTGCATCAGCTGCTGGGCAACAGAACTGGTGTAAAACAGTTTCATTCCTGTAAGAAAAACAACAAAAAAAACATAGCAGGTCAGTGTTCAGTTCACTTAACATAATATTCAAGGGAAAATGCCCTTCCTGGGAGTGTTCCAAAGGGACAGAGACTCCCATTGATGCTGAAACAGAAATCTGATTACTACATGAACATTTTGGTGGTGGGGAGCAGGAGAGGAGGAGGCTGACAGTTCTGTTCCCCTGCCTCACCTGTCCTGCTGCTCATGTCAAGCTGAAGAGAATGAGGCAAAAGCACCCAAATAAAAAGCTTTCCTTCTATCAGTATCTGTCTCATGAACCCATACAACTCATGAAAAATAGTTTTGCCTGTCTCTAACTTTTGTTTCTTTTGGGACAGAAACATCTCCTTATATGTTTCCTTAGGTATGGTTCCTATACAATATAATGTTGATTTTTGTTGACAGTGCCAAATTAACTCTGCAGACATTTCTCCTGAAACCTGTCTAGAGCACAGAGATGGCCTCAGCACATCAGCACTGGGCATTATCAGATATAGTAGCAGAAACTTATAGGACAAGCACAAGTAGGAGAGCTGAGATCATGATGAGAGGAAGAGATCAGAGCAAAGAAAAGCAAAACCATAAGAAGTAACAAACCTGAGCAAAACATGAGAATAAAAAGCTTAAAATGCATTTATTAGAGAAAAAAGGCAAAAGAATTCATCCAAAGGAAGAAATTCTACATTAAACTTCCAAAACTGCTCACTAGTCTTGAGTGACTTGTTCTTGGGTCCCTTGCCTGAAAACATTTGTAAGGAGCCTGGTTTTCAGGGGTTTGGACACTTATCACGGTGTTGGAACCCAGTAAAAGCTGCTCAGCATCTCTGAAAATAATATCCTTTTAAGATACCTGCAGAGAGACCCTTGAGGTGTCACAGGCAGCACAAATCAACAGACAACTTTAAACACAATGACCTTCATCAATGAAAAGGAGTCACTAAAAAGAGACACAGTGTCAAGGCGGGGAGGTAAGAGGGGAATGGAAAAGAAAATTAAAAGAGGAGAAGAAAAGCAGGGCAGATAAAGCAGGCTGAATCCTCAGATAGCATAAAATCACCTCGTCTCCAAGTCAGTGGAACAGCACTTAGAGCTCTGTTCTCAGTGCTACTGCAGAGACCCAGGGCTCAAATGGGGTCATTTCCTTTCAAAAATATTTTTGCAGCTTCTAACCCAGACATAAGCTGTAAAGTTAAGTCTCCTGGCTTCTCATGGAGTCTCAGATTCTTCCAAAGGCCCTGCCACAGTTTCCTACACTGTGAAATGTGAAGCTTATCACCTTTGTCTTTCTCAAAATCTGTCAGACATGGACACAAATATAACTAAATTACAATGATGATTCTCAGCACCTCCTTCAGGCCTCCTGGCTAGCTTAATATAACAAACAGCTTAGTTCTTCTGCTTCCTTGGCTTCCAATGCATTCTCAAAAGGTATCTTTCCTCAGAAACAACAGGATTGGCAGGAGCAACACAGCAGGGGAAAGATAAAAGCATTAGTTTTTATCTCACTGACCTCTGCCCATGCCCTCCATCCCTGCCTATGACATGCAACATGCTGGAAAAGAGAGGACATGTTTGCATGACATATCAAATTCATCTCCTGGTCTTCCATTTCTGTAACCCAGCTCACAAACCTTCTCTCCTGCCAACCTGGTTATTGCTGGTTCTCACTACACTCTTTCCTATTTAAACTTCTCATGTGGCAAGTACCTATCTGACTGGTGTGTCCATAAATTACTTGTGTTGTCTTTTTACTAAAGCAAGTGGTAGGAACACATTGGAGGCTATGTTCAAGCAGGCTCACACAAATACTCCAGCTCCTACATCTTGTCATTCTGGTTCCAGCTAGAATCCATCAGGAATTTTCTGTTAAAATTTTGATTTTGCATAAAAACACTGATTCATCAAATTCATCTGGTGAAATCATCTTGGGTTTGACAAAGATTCACCAAATTACCTGGATTTCCTGGCAGGCTGCTGAAGGGCCATGGCTCCATATCCCACATCTCTAGGCAGTCACACCATACAAGTAGCCCCTTGGAGAAGGGCCATCAGTTTTTCCACCCAGGTTTTTGTTCTGCCCAACTCCCAAAGCAGCCATGCTGGGAGCTAGCTGGCTCAAGAGGTGTAGAGCACCTGCACCAAGGCAATCAGCTCTGCAGAGCAGCCCTGGAGTCACAGACATCCTCAGCTGCAGTGTGGAAATGCACAAGGCACTCAGCTGAATCAGCAACAGCTGACATTCATTCTGAAGATCCCAACTGGTTTCAGAAGTATTATATATCGGCATTTCTTACTGAATTTCATCTCTACAGGTACCATTGGGGAAAAAAAAGGGCCTACTTCCAGATAAAAGTAACAACATATTTTGAAACCATAGAATCATTTAGGTTAGAAGGGAACCTTAAGATCATTGAGTCCAACCGTTAACCTAACACTGCCAAGTCCACCACTAAACCATGTCCCTAAGCACCACATCTACACATCTTTTAAATATCTCCAGTGATGGTGACTCAACCATTTCCCTGGGCAGCCTGTTCCAATGCTTGATAACCCTTTAAGTGAAGAAATTTTTCGTAATATCCAACCTAAACTTCCTCTGGCACAATTTGAGGCCATTTCCTCTTGTCCTATAACCTGTAACTTGGGAGAAGAGACCAACCTCCACCTTGATATAACCTCCTTCCAGGGAGTTGGAGAGAGTGATAAAGTCTCCCCTCAGCCTCAATTTCTCCAGTCTAAACAACCCCAGTTCCCTCAGCCACTTCTCTAGAAGCTGCTGCTTCTTGTTCTCTAGACCCTTCACCAACTTCCAAATGGAATCTTCCAAAAAATGGACACCCCAAATTTCAGCCATTTCTAGTCTTGGCATTTACCTAAATGAACTATACTGTCCTCTGCTTTTATTCGAACAGCAGATGCACCACTCCAATTCCTAATTACCCATGAAGAAAGCAAACAGGGAGGAAAAACACAGGGAAAGAGAGGAAGGAACAAGGATCAAAAAAATGAGAAATAGAAGCTTGTATATAGATTAAATGTCTTGCTAGTTAATTATGAGGACAGAAACACAGAGAAAAGTAAAGGGGAAACAGGGAAAGTAAGAATGGTGCGAAGTTACAGGACTTTAAACTCAGTCTCCTGTGGGTGTTTTAAGAAAAAACATCTCACAAATACTCTTCAGAGAATCAGTATGCTCTGAGCACTGCAGCTGCACAGTCAGCTGTTGACTCTAGTTTTCATGATTTCTCATGTGTGTTTAACACTAACCTTTGGTATTTTCTGCCCAAACCAGAGTCCTGTTGAACCTCAGAGATCCCAGGATCTCTGAAGTAGTTGTGCACCTTATATACCACTACCAGATGTTGATCGTGTCCACAGGCAGAAATCTGCCTCTAGGCCATTTGAGATCCTTGAATCCCCCTCTCAGGGCCATGACTCCCATGGAGAAGCCATCAGGGAGGTGATGAGGAGCAGGCACTCCCTGATAGAGCTAAATATATGAGGTGTAAATGGGTATTCCAAGACTGAGCTGAAAGCTCTTCTCTTGACTCAGGGAAGGACATCTTGTTAGTCCTATTATATCTGAGTTCCCCAAATGCCTACAAGCAGTTGGAGCTCTGGGTCTATTTACATTCTTCTTGTAAAGCTTGCTTCTCCTTCTCCTTTGTGCTATCCAGGCATATGCCACAGGGATGGGGGTTTTTACCTTAGAGTCTATCCCTGTTCATCTTCCTCTTTTTTTCCATCTCTTGATCCTGCATATATCTGACATTTTGCAAATCCATGTCCTCGCCTTCGTAGCATGGCATGCAAAGCCCAGACAGGAGCTGGGAGAGGAAGGGTTAACTTGTTATGGAAGAAGTGGACCTGTTCCCACCCTGGAGAGGCTGTATTAATTTCTATTTAGGCAAAGCAGCTCTCATTTGGGTGCAAAAGACAAGTGTCCTAGGGCTTTACTATCACTTCTAAGCCTGAAGTAAGTGCTCTAGGAAAGCAGCTGTCTTCTTAATGCGTGAAGCCTTCAGGTAAGATGTTATTTTTGTTGCTGTGATTCAAGAGGGCCTGGCAGGCTTGTAATGGCTGGTGGCTACCTGGATTTCATTCCCTTTTGGTGATGTCAACCTTTGAAGCTTTAAAGTGAGTCTTGAGATACTAAATATCGGTCTGAAGTCAGTGTAAGACACTTGATGGTGGGTTTTATTTCCTTTCTGTGCTTTCTTTTTATTTTGTTTTTTAAACAAATCTTACTTCGTAAGTCAGAAAGGCTACATAAAACTTGAATGTGCAGCCTCTGAGGGGTTAAACACGAGGAAGCATAAGTTCTTCTTTGCCTTTGAAAAACAGGGAGGGAAGGCAAGGTGTCTTCAATCCACTGACAGTTGATTCAGACTCATTACTTTGGGGTCCTGATCTGTATTTTTTTTTTGTTGTTTCTAAATAATTCAAGTAGGTGGTAATGGTCTACCAATTAAAAGGGTAGGTCCATGGCTTCTTTTTTTGCCTTTCTGTCCTCTCCGTCCCCTACCTTGCTTTCCTCAGAATCACAAACCATCAGAGAGTGCAGCTAAACAAACACTGTTGTGGGCAGATCAGGCAGGAGATTGGGAAGAGAAAGAATTTCTCCTGTCAGGATACTGTTAAAGTGTTCTGCTTCCAATTTTTTGCTTTAAAACCAAACAAATTATAATCTATTGGGCTGCACCCCAATGAAAGCTTGGAAGGGAAAAGCCAGCAAGAAGAAAAGGTGTTCTGGGTGAGTGAAGAGGCATTGTGTGGTACAGAAGAGGAAGAGGCTAATGGAGAGAAGGCAGCATGCTGAAGAGCTTATTGAGGTAAACATTGCCAAGCAGTATGTGAGTTGTGTGTGGAGGAACAGCAGAGGACAAGGACAAGCACAGATGCAAAAAGGGGACTGGGAACAGCCTAAGCCTGTCACTGCCTTGCTCTGTCTAGCTGGGACGC